TTTTTTTTAAAGTGCGACTAGTGATGATTTCCCTGTATTTATATAATGATAGTATAATGTCACAAGCAACGGAACTTTCAAGGTCTTTCCAGTGTACCTATTCAATTGTAAATAATGTTGCTGTCTATAATTAGTGTCCACCGTATTCACTATTCAGTATATAACGAAAAGTTAATTGAAAAATAATTTAGTTCTATTGTAGTATTGTCTACTTGTTCAGAACTTTTGGTAGTGTTATCCTGCAAAACATGAATTTTTTTAACATTTCAGATGAATTTAAGAAAAACCCAGAACTCAATGAAGAAGATTTAAATCATCTAAGAGAATGGATATCCAAACAACCGCACCTTCCAATCGTTACTGGTAAATATCTATTTATAGTATCATAGTCCATAATATTCGTAGAAATAACTATGATTCTATATATTTATTTTTCTTACAATAATATAATACAATATGTAAATAGTGTATCCTTAAAAATTGTTAACCTTAAACTCCTTGTATGTCAATGGCCATAGACGCCGACGTTTATTTATTTAAATAAAAAAAAAATGTATATAATTTGTATTTATATAGGTGGCATGAAAAATGCTTCCAATTTAGGTCACGAAATATAATTTATAATAGTATAACACTTATAATAGCCAATAGGTATTTGAAATTTTCTTCAACTCAGAAATAATATGTCAAAAAAGATTAATGATATTATATTACAAATATACATGTTCTTAACCTTTTTTTCCTGTTTCYAAACGTGTGACTGGRCGGGGATTGTTTTTCGCATTACTTTCGAATATTTTTGTAACCTAATAGTCTCAAAAGTATTCATTGATCATAGAAATGCTTATTAGTCTCTCTCATCTAGTGATCATTAATTTGTATAATATCAATATGAATTATGATTAACTCAAACTCTTTCGCTGGCTGGCATGACTTAACTTTGAAATTTGAACAAAACATTAAAAATGTTGAAAGTTTGAATGGTATTTAAATGAAATGATCAATAAACCTAAAAGCTAAATATTCGGTAGGTACCTTACCTATATGAAGTTCTTAGTTGCATGCAGTGGCGGCTCGAAGGGAGTATATTTGAATCACGTGATTCACAAAAATATTAATGGGTGGTTGGGTGGGTAGGTTTTATGGYTGGAAAAGGTAGATTGGACCATTTTTGTAGGTTGGTATTTAAATATTAAATTACAAATAATAAATATAATATGTGTACTCAGCAGATAATGTACAATAATAAGTAATAACTAATAACTATATTTTAGGGTGAGTGGTGTAAAAATATTAAACGTGATTCGAGGGAAAAAAAGTTCAAGCCGCCACTGGTTGCATGTGTTGTACATCTTCTTTGATATGTGCTTTTAATTTATTTATGTTCTGATATGCCACTATGTCAATGTKTCACTGTGACACTGTTTTTGATTTATCATCGCCTATAAGTTTTAGTGCTCCTAAAATTAAGTTATGACATTTTTGRAACTGTATGTTTAAAATTAGTATTGGGTACTCACTTTAAAAAAGATAATATAAATAAAAGCCTACTTTGGGTCATGGATAACAATCTTATTTTTAAATTGTATATTTGATTAATTCACTCTAATATCAAATCTAATAGCACACTAGCGAAACAGATGAACCAAAATTTGATAYGTCGCAGGTGTGTAAGATGAAAACAACACATTCGTGTGCGACTGTGTCATAGTYTGTGTTCGACCCACTTTAGTTAATTATTTACCTATATACTCAAAATTGTGTAATGTTATTGCAGCGTATAGAGTATACGGTTTACTATATATATATACAATAATATGTATAATGTATACATATTAAATAATATTGTTGCACTATTTATAGCTTTGCATAATTTTTCATTCGTGTAGACGTAACAGTAAAATAATTAAAATATTTTCAGATGAACTCCTCGTGCTATTTTTTCATAGCTGTTTCTATCGATTGGAACCGACTAAAATAACCATAGAGTCGTATTTCACTCTACGCACTCATTCGCCCGAATTATTTACAAAACGAGATACCGATGTAAAATCTGTGTTGGAAGCATTTAAAACTATGTAAAACAAAAATATATTTATTTTACAACGTAAAATTACTGTTTACTTATAGAAGTACATTACTCCTTAGATCGTTTTGTGTATTGCCGGAATCAACTCCAGATGGTTGCAAATGTATATTTATACATGCTAAGCGCGCAGAGGCAGAATTATTTGTTTTATCTGATTTCATTAAAGCACTCAGCATGGTGATCGATATGTTGCTAATGACTTCAGGAACTTTCARCGGACTTATAATTATTTATGAYATGAAAGGTTTTAGTCTTAGCCACGTCGGTCGTCTTGGTATCAACATGATGAAAAAATACGTGTATTTCTTGCAGGTATGTCTATATTAAAATAATTATTTTGGAATTTGAATTCACTAGGTACTTATTAATAATTTTAATTTTAGGATGGATTACCGGCTCGTCTAAAAGCTATTCATACGATAAACACTGTTCCGTTTATTGACATGATAACTAGTATGACAAAACCTTTTATGAAAAAAGAATTATCCGAGAAAGTAATCAACTTTTTTTTTCATGATATAATATTTATTGTTTACGCATTAGTTAATGTTATAACATTTAAAATATATTTYACAGTGCAGTAATATAATTATGTAATATTTCAGTTATATTATCACTCGACTGCAGATTCTGAAACGATATTTGATTATATACCTAAAGAAATAATGCCAATCGAGATCGGAGGACGTGGACAAACGCTACAAAAATTACATGGTAGGTCGATAATGTATTGATCTTATAAAAATACAAAACATTTTGAATAATAATATCAACAGTTAGATAGATATACTAAATTGTCTTATTTTGTATGCAATTAGATGATACATTAGACAAAGTCAAAGGTATGAGAAAATGGTTCTTGGAAGAAGAAAATTACAGAGTAGATGAACAAAAACGTCCTGGTAAACCTAAAACGGAAAGTGACTACTTTGGTGTTGAAGGTTCTTTTAAGACTTTGAATTTGGATTGAATTAAATTGTTATTGTTTTGGGTTATACAATATTATATTAGTAATGGAAAATGTATGGAATACTTATTRATAATTATGTTATAAAAGTTGTAGTCTTTAATCTTTATATTATGTTGAAGACGAAATAATAGGATAAATTAAAATATTATACTTGTGTTATAGTTAATTTTAATATTATTGACTTTGAGTAAGCATAATATTGTGCTGCAGACTCCTTCAGATAATCTTCTTTTATGACTAGATTATAGTAAATAGTACCTACATTTAGAACACATGTAACTATTGTAGGTAATTTGTATTTATTTTGTATTTGTTGGTATATTTTTTTGGGTTATTTGTATTCATTTTTTTTTTTTTTTTTTTTATTTTGTATTTGTTGGTATATTTTTTTGGGTTATTTGTATTCATTTTTTTTTTTTTTTTACCGCAATGGATGTAGAATCAACTATTTTAATTTGTATTGGTTGTTGTATTACACAAATGTATCAGTCCATTAAATTATTTTGATTAATAAAAAATTGTTTATTATCAGTAGAAACACGAAACTATAGGTATCGCAGGGGTACTATATATTGTATTGGTAGATAGGCACATAATATCATTGATTTTAAATGCTAGTACCTATTCAAGGGTGGAGTGGCTCCGAAATTCTTACAGGGTAAACCAATATTTTCAAGCCACTTTTCAATATGACCTTTGCTAATTAGTAATTACTTACTATACAATCGTAAAGATTAGTATATAGACAATGGAGCTGTTTATTTTTATATCACAAAAAATAGTTATATTTTGTATTACAGTGAGAACCATCATAGAACAGTAAACAAAAAGTTAAAATTCTAGATTTCAGATATAGATAACATGCTGGTAAATTGAACGTTATTTTATAATTATGTGTACTTACCAGAAAAAACAGATACTTTTATACCAGCGTAGATTAATTAATCTTAATATAAAATGTGATAGGATTGTATATAAATATATTATATTCATTCTCTGTATCAAGTATTTTTGAATGATAAGTGGAAATGTTTATCTTAACCGACCTTGCAGATATAAAATACCTWTGTGTTGCGTTTTAAATAGTTTTAAAAATTATTGAGATTTTAATCTTTAACTTTAGAGTTTAGAGATATACATATTATTCAAATAACAACAAGTAGTTTGTTAAAATATTTCACACCTTCCGGCTACCATAATATCAATAATATATGTCATGTGGGCTATAATCTATGTACATGTTTTGTATGTAATTTAATTTTATACACTATAAGATGGTCGGGTTTGTGAAATAATAATTAAATCTGACGTTAAATATGTTAAAAATGTATACCAATCGTTAAAATGTAGGTACCTAATATAAAAATTGTAAATAATAAATAGCACCTAGTTTTTTATATTTTGCAACTATAACAAAATAATAATCGTCTAGAGACAATTTTTGTTGTGTTAGGTTCAAACCATTATTTTATTATAATATATTTTAGTATCGTTTTAAAATATTAATACATGTATATACATTAAATATAGTTAATGGTTATTATAAACAGGCGAAGGTTAAAAATCAAATTAAATACAATATAATAATGTGACACATTAACTGGTTGCGCCTGGTGGCTGGTACACTAATCCTAAAATAGTCGTTGTTTGGTTACCGGACAAATCCACACGCACCATATATGGTCTATGTAGGTAGATTTTCATTCTCCAAGACCGCTTTGGTKTCTGACCGGTCGTTTCTTAAATAAATCCCTTGACTCATATTATTATAATAGCATGTATTTAATATTCTCAACCGCCGATCTTTTGTCGGACGTGTATAGGTACTTRATTTATAAATTAATGTAACAGGAACAATACAATAATAACTGAATCACACTATATATTGTGTCAGCTATTGGTTTTTTGCGAATTCTGAAGAACGCACTCGGTTGATTCAACACCACTGTCGATATTTCATTTACCTAATAGCAGAATTTGGCAAATCAGACGGTGACTTTTGGAATTGTATCAACAACAAAAATAACTGTTCAATGTCAAGATATAAGCAAAAGTTTTACAAACTTACTTGAACTCAAACCTTAAAAAAATTCGCTGTCAGCTATAATTACTATATGGCTCATTTAAACGCAAAATTAAAAGAATAACAAACAATTTAGTATGCTTAGATGATTCAATTAGTGTCGTTTCAACTAAACTATTTTTGTGTTTGAATTTGAACTTATTATTATAATATACACTGCATAGTTATAGTACATACTTGCACAATTTATGAATAAAAAAAAATAAAAATAAATATTCTTATTGAATTGTTTAAACTTTAAAATAATGTTGATATATACCTGGTTGTACAAAATACGATTTACCAAATTATATTTAAACGAATTATGTAGAAATACTCGTAATCAATTAGAATTTAAACTTTTTGTTTATCGTTCTATGATGGTTCTCAGTGTTGTATAAAATATAACTATTTTTTTTTCGATACAAAAAAAATAAATAGCTTCATTCATCTAACTATTAATCTTTAAAACCGTGTCATAATATTATACTAACCTTCCATGAACAGGTATAAATAAAACGCATTAGATACGTAAAATGATAAATTATATATAACTGTTTTTGTATCATTGTAAAAACATAATGCGAATTTATCAGGCTTAAGTGATTTTTATTGTCAACACGCTTTCAACCACGTACAGAAACTATGTGACTAATACCAACAGTGATACCTATACCTACATGGATAAAATTCATTTATAACGATAACAATATAATATACTATAACTTAACAGAAGTTAAAATTTACACACATTAATAATTGTCAGGATGAATTTTTTTAAGTACCTACATATTATCGACTTACTCATTATTGAGATAAATATACTATAATCACTTCTACAGTTTATACGAGTTAATACTATGCGCCTAATGTAATTTGTAGGTTAAATACTTTTAAGTCAGTGATAGTCAAGGCTGGTCATAGGTATTATGCCGCCCGGCGCGATTTAAAAATTTGTCATTTCTATCCAAGGTTAAAACACCACCCCTAATCCATTCAAAATKTCCTCCCGRTTAAGACGCACTACTTGCACGTGCCTTAAGCCAGTCCTAGTAATACCCAAAAACCCAAACCTAACCCATTACCTATTAGTTATTTTTATTATTACTTTTAATTTAATTATTTTAATTATTACGTATTACTTATTAGTTACCTATTATCTATTACAAACTAGCTTACAGGTTACAGGTTAACATTTTAAACTCATCGTTTTATTCAATTCTCAAAAGTATTGTGATTTTCTGTTTTAAAAGTAAAAATGATAAGATTCTGTAGTATAATTATTAGTTATAATATAGTTTATTTGTTAGTAGATATTGGTAAATTATAAAACAATATTAAAACATTAAAATATAATGGAATACCTATATGACGTATGTACCTACTTTGAAAAACAAATACCTAAAATGAGTTGTATAAAAACTATAAAAAAATGTATGGTAATATCGTATTGAATATAAATTCAATTAATCATAGGATTGATTTTAATAAAATAATATTTTAAATGTTATATTATTAGTATTCTAAATTTATTTGAACGTCTTATGGCGTTGTGGGTTGTTACTTATTGTTAACAATTTTTATTTATTTTCAGATAAGGATATTTATGATTAGACTTTTGGTTGATTTTAGATCATATTTATATGCGACAAATGACTATTGACTATTATACTTGATCAATTTTTATTATTTTGGAATGTGGTGGACAATATTATTCTTGCTATGGAAAATGTATTTCTAAACAGAAAGTCGGATGCTATATTATGTAGTACTGTACAACTGTCATAGTGATGATGGCCATGGGAACAGACAATAGTAATAATATGAACATACAACGATTGATGAATTGAAGCAAATAAACTACTTACATGATACCGTTAAGTCTGCTACACTGAATCCAAAAAACAAAGAAGAAACAATGAAATAGATGAAATATGAGCCGAACATAATTATAATTTATATATATATATATATTTTTTTTTTGTAATAATAGTGTGAAATACACAATTCATACCTATTGACATTCTTATAAGTTATAATACACATTATTTATTTAAAACGCATTTGCATTTTAAATTTTGGTATATATTTACAGAATACACAATGMCGTACCTATTGTTTTGTTCGTAAACAATTTTCGGGAATGTTCCAAACGTATRTCATTTGGATAGAAATTCGATAGTAGTGATAATTTAGACGGCTTATTTTTAGAATTTCTCAGTAAACTTCCTAGACAATTATGAAAAACGACTCACCAGTCACCACGATACTTGGGAGACAAGAATTTGATTTCCGGCAACTGGGCCACGTTTCCTACAATATTATTATACTATACTACTTATTAGATTATTTTGTAATTTATACTTTTTTATATGATATTGTTGAATTATGTTATTTAYAGTTTTGAGAATATTGCGTTATAGTATTTTCGTAAGTACAATTATTTACGTAAACACAACAGGTAGAACCTACTATGATGATATTTTATWATGAATTATAACTACCTAGTACACCTACCTATTTCAGACTTCACTCAAGTTATGGATTTTCGTTGTATTATATAATATTATGATGTATGATAACTTATGTTTTCTAAATTACAACAAATAAAATATAAAAGAACCTCATTGCTTGAAATTTGATTTAATATTTATTTTTTTTTTGTATTTGTAGATACCTATAATCTAATAATACAAATATTCAAAATATTAAGAATACTTTATGGTTTTACTCTACGTATACATTTTTTTTTAACATTTGAAATTTTTCTAATCTATATTTCACACRATTTAAAAATGTTAATTACTCGATATGTAAAATCATATTTATAGATATAATATGGCAAAACTGACAATTACGTTTCAAATATAATATTAGTATATTACCATGTTATTATTTTTTTGGTGCCTACATCAACATCATATAACATTAATCACCCCTCCGACTATCAAACAAATACTCAAACCATATCCATTTCTATGGGTAAACCATTAAATATTAAATAATAACCATCTACAAGACTACAAACATCCATTCACTAGTAGAGGTACAAGCATGGTATAGTTAACGGCAAAGCCATCATTTTAAAGCAAAGCTAACAGGTAATTTAAAGTTACTAATTTAAAGGAGATTCTTCAAAACTGTATGGTTTTAAATTTGTAAACCGAACTTAGGCTGGTAAAAACCTGTGTGAATTATTATTTCTGTATACCTATCACTGCAGATTCTTTATTTTTTAATTAGATATTATGTATCAATG